AGAGGCTTTTTATCTAATTGAAATTTTTTCTTTTTTTTGTTAAAGTGACGGACGATTGAAGTAATTTGTTTGGTGGTAATAGTAGTAGTAGTAGCAGGAGTAGTCGCAGTGTCATTACATTTACCTTGTTCTGTTCTTTCATTTCTTCTATCGTTCTATGTGACTATTTTTTCAAAAGTAGGAGAGTGGAAGAGAGTGATATAGTTTTGTTGACATATTTAAAACAAGAAAAAAGAAGAAAATTTTTCTATTTTACTTCATTTTCTTTAAGTATTTACATCATCATCATCATCATCTTTATTATTATCATCATCGATGTCATTACATAAAGATACAACATTTACAAGTAAGAATTAATGAATTATTTCATAAGTAAATAAATAAACTTAATGTTATAGAAATTTTCGTTGGTGGGTTACCATATCATACAACAGATGATACATTACGAAAATTTTTTGAACGTTTTGGTGAAATTGAAGAAGCAGTGGTAAGTAGTTAATATACTGTCTATTATTTATTAATTATTTTTTTAATAAAGGTTATTACTGATCGACAAACAGGCAAATCACGTGGTTATGGATTTGTAAGTAGAGAGAACAAAAAAAAAGATTGATTATTAACACGCGTATATAGATATGTCAGTTTTCTGTCTTAAAAGATAATCACTTTCTTCTCTTATCATTTGCATGCCATCAATCAGTAACGAAATCTATGCATGTCTGCTACTAATATGAACGTTCTTATGCTTTTTCAACTTTGAACAAACATATATATATAAAGATTTATTAGAGATTCGAATAGAAAACGATAAGAGAAAGAAGATGAAATCTTTTAAGTGTATTTTAATGTTAGTTTAACATTGCAATTAACTTGTATTTTAAAGGTGACTATGAATACACAAGAAGCCGCAAGTTTAGCGACAAAAGAAGCCAATCCTGTTATTGATGGTCGAAAAGCAAATGTTAATTTAGCTTATTTAGGTGCTAAACCACGTGTAATACCATCTCCAGCTGGTAAGTTTAAATTTCAAAATTTACAAGTTCATTTTTATTTTGTTTCAATATATGTGTGTGTTAAAATAAAAAAAATATTCATATAATGATTAAATTGACTATCCTTTCTCTCTCCTCATTAATTATAGTACGAGCAGCATGAGAAAAAGAAAAGAAATAAATTAGACAGTAAGTGGATGCTCTGGATGACGCTGCCGTTTGTTTGACTGAGCACGGGTTTGTGCCAGTTACTTGGTGTTTATAATTATTATTATTATTATATATATTCTTTTTTGTTTTTCTTAACCTAATACGATCAATTTTATTAAACTAACTAAAACATTTTATTTTTCTAAATGTACGATAATAACCATACCCACACCATTGTGGCATGGGGACTTTCTTCTTCTGTGTTTCGAGTGTTTGACGTTGGTATTGTTGTGGTGCTCTCTCTTTTTCTCTCTGTCTTTCTTTTCATCTCTTTTACTTCTATGTCTGCGCCCATGTGCTCGCTTTCGTGTGCGTGTGTGTGTCTTTTCTCAGTGCTTTCATTTTTCATCTCTTAGTCATTTGATCACTTAGTAGCAGTAGTAGTTGTATGAATGAGACAAACAGGAACAAATATAATGCTGATGATAATATAAATTTATTTTTTTCTTCTTCTTTTCGTTTTGAGACAATTGAAATTTGATTCTTTATAAATAAATATTGAAATATACAAAAGACGATAACAAAATTTCTAACAGCGTGTATGTGTGATTTGTATGCCTTTAGAGTTTCACCTCGATTGTTGCTGTTGTTGTTGTTGTTTCTTGGTTGCAATAATCGATTTGATTGATTTTTTTTATTTTGTTGTTGTCTTTTAATATATATATACATATGTATATATTGATCAATTAAAAATAATTTAGTAATTTTAAAATAAATATTGTTTTTTTTATTATTATTGTTATAGGTCTTATCCCTCTTCATCTAGCCGGCGCTTATTCAGCAGCATTACCAACAACTTATGGGTGAGTTCATTTTGATTTTTCTTCATCTTCTTCTTCTTTCTCTTTAATTTTCGACGGACAGATGAGTAAACCCCCTGCAGAGAAATCAAATCAATCTTGAAGTTAAAGAAGAGAAAGGAAAGAATGTTTATTTGAAAAACAGAACATTCGAGTAATCAAGCGAACTTGATGAAAGGCCACCCCCTGTGTATTGACGCACACACATATGATGCTGATGACGTGATTGTTCTCTTATGTTCACATAGATTTCTTCTATCGAAATTAGATAGTTTAGATAAACAAAGAAAAATAATTTTTCTTTTTGAAAAATAATCTATTAAACATATGTTTTTTTTTTAGTATACAACCAATTTATTATCAACAACCACCAACTACAACTTTATTAGCGACCGCTGGAACACCTCAAACACTTAGTACATTAATACCAAATCAAACAACAGCAACATTAAATGGTGCTCATTCATCACAAAATCAATCCACAGGTGGACCATCTTATTACGAATTAACGTATGCTACAGCTCCATTAACATCGGCATCGATTGAACAACAATCTTATATTTATGCAACAGCTTCTGGACAAACGTTTTCTTATGCACAATTACCGACTGGTGCTACTCAACAGCAAACAGGTCCGACAAATCTCAATGATGTTTATGCAAATCATGCAGCTAAATATATGATTGACGATCATAATGGAGCTGTTGATCGTGACCATCATCAACGTACAGCAGCTGGATGGTGATGAAAATAAGTTAGAAGAAATTATATGCAGGGAAAATGACGAAAAAAAAAATAAAAGTTTATGTCTAGATCATTAATGTTTTGTTTCTTCATTTTCTTTTTTTTTCATGTTCTTTTTCTTTTCTTTTCATTTTTTTTTTGTTTAACTTTCTTTCTTCTTCAAAAAAGCAGCTAGATGATCATTTTCTACTGTACAGTCAAGACTATTTGTTCGTTGACAATAAATCAAGAAAGCGAGATTTATCTTTAATTAATTTAAACATTATTTTATTTTGATCGAACAATTTTAGACATGTTATGCATCATTACAATATGATCATCATAAAAGAAGAAAGTGATTAGTTGATTGTAAACAATTGAATTTCAATTAATAAATATCTACTTTGAAGATGAGTTTGAAATGTAAATATTCTATACGATTCATTTAAAATCATTGAGGATAAAAGTTACTTATATACTAAGGAAATATAAACGAATGTATTTTATGTCATATTCTTTTAGACAGAAATTAATTCAGATGTTTATACTGAGAAGAATTTCTTTTGCATGGTTTATTATTTTATCCAATAAGTAGTTCTATTATAGTAACTAGACCAGCAGTAGATTTCTTTTCTAATGGAAATTTAGTTCGTATTTTTGGATGAAACGTGGCATAAATAGTTTCGTATAATATGCGTGTACTATTGAAAGTAGTTAAAATAATGTATCGCACAGCATGCTTTTCTCTGTATTCAAGACATTATTTCATAGTAGG